TTGATTAATCCGGAGGGATTTGTGCAACTTGCAGAATTGCCCAATCGATTAGGTCGCCTAAAAGGATGTGGACACAGAGGTTACCAAAGGTTGCCTCTGTAAATAGCTCCGTCTCAACAGTGGTGAATCACTCACTGACGGGTGAATTAAACAGAGTCAACAGCACCTGTTTGTGTGCATGTGAGTTGACAGGTGGGCTCTGAGGGACAATCAAGGGCTCACTGCCTGCCATCTCACGGGACAGCAATGATTTCTGACGAAAATACTTTTGAGTCGTTTTGTAAATGGATTCAAATTTAATTTAAATGATGCATAATTCCAATTAAGTGCAAAATTTGAAGACAAAGCGCACTTGGCACCAATAAAAACATTTAAGTCTACGTAAAGAACAGAACCCGCACATTCTGTGCGTATTGCAGTTAATGCACACACAAAACGTATCATCAGAAGAGAACCTCCGGAAGAAACAAGTGCTTTGATTTGTTAGGGTCACTCTGTGACTTCATCGTCCGAGCCCTGTGCCATCAGGCTGGCGTGTTCGATGTAGTCGAAGTCAGGAAACTTGACAGGAAGGTCGTTCCACCTGGTGCAGTTGCTGTACTTTTTCTTATTTATATCCACCACAAAGTTTTTCACATGGAGACAAGGCAGCTCAATCCCCCGGTAAAACATCATTGAACCCCATGTCTGCAACAGAAGTGGAGTTTAAAAGAAGACAAATCTTATTTTATCCGTTTAATGCATTAAACTTAGTTGATTTCCATAGCAGCCAGACTGTCAGATAAAATAAGTAATAAAAAAAATATACATTTGTTGTTCTTCATTTGCCATGAAGCTCTACAGTGCTTAGCAAAAATATTCACACTGTTTTTTTTTTTTTACATTTTGTCACATTACAATCACAAACTGATGTATTTCTTTGGGGATTTTATGTCATAGAATCACTAAATGTAGCTAAAATGATGCTAATAAAGCTATTCTGTGAAGCTCTCAGATGTTTAATAGGAAATAGTGGAAAAACAGGAACAAGGAAACAAGTGAAAGGTCAGGAGTAAAGACCCGGACATGTTTAAAACACGGTTTGGTTTTTGAAACCATCCCAAACTATAAACATCTCGTGGTAAACAGCTTAATCTATCATCCCAAAGTAGGAGTAAAGAATAACTGTAAACCCAACAAGACATGACTGCTGACCAGAACCGACCGGCTGGGCAAACGATTCATTAATCAGAGCCCTCGTTCACAAATATTTCTGTTATAAATCCGCAGACAAGCCACCTCATCCAGAAATGATTTCTGAATCATGCTTATATTTGTAAATCCTGCTGCTGGCTCACTACTCAAATGACACATCATCACTTTTTCGACCAGTAAGGCCGGCTCTCCTCCATAAAGTTCAACCCACGTGATGGCTATGATTACATAATTTCGCAATTCAGGGGTATGGCATAGGCAGGCTGACTTCTACCCCTCTCACTTTATCAATCCTAAATACACAAACGACACGAAGACGCCAGAAAAGGAGCACATAAACCCGCCTTTTAGTGTTTAATGAAAGGGGCTAGAGTAGCAGCACAACTCTACCACTAATGTAGGAAAATACTCTGACAGGACTACCACTAGCTATACTCTCCACAAATACCACCTTTATGAAAGACTGGAAAGAAGGACGTCAATATTGAAATAATATCTAATAAGTCTCTTTTGCAGTTTCCAAAAAGCTATGCAGGTGATGCTGCAAACATGTGGAAGAAGGTGCTGTGGTCAGAAGATAACTGAATTTTGTGGTCTATAAGTACAAAACTATGTGTGGTGAAGACTTGACACCAATCATAATCTTGAATGCACTAATCACACAGTGAAACATGATAGCAGCATCATGCTACTGGGGTGGGGGGCTTTCTTAGGCAAAGACAAGCAAACTGGATGAAAAGATGGATAAATCTGCATCTGTAAGCAGATATTTAAATAAACTATAAAAGGACATCGTTTGCAGACTAAATGTTTCCTGCTTTAGGTCAGTTAGGACAAACAAAATTCTTCAAATTTATCAGTTAACATAGATGTCTTTCATATCTGGCAGACCAGACCATAATCTAATTGTTGGGGAATGAGCAGAGACTAACACATTTTTTCAGTTGTGCACAAATTTATGTTTGTCTATCAAAAAGCCCAATAAATTAAATTAGTTTGCCATTGTAATGTGAAAAACTAGGAGCTGGGATTCAGGGATACGAGTATCTTGGCGAGACAAGTTATCTCAAGTTACTAGCAAGACCGCAAATCCAAAAACCAAACAGTGTGTTTACCTGACCACAGCCACTGCAAGCTATGACTCCATTGGTCTCGTAGTCCAAACGTCGCTCCTGAAGAGATGCGTTTTCTCTCTGGATGAAAAGTTTCCTGCACAAACAAAAGAGAGTATAAATAACCATGCAATGCAATGTGCCAGTGTTGAAAAGTTTATATCGTAATTAGTACCTAAACTGTTGCGTAACATTGACTCTGTGCATGTTTTCAATGATTTGGATGTCTTCGCCGCTGCAGATGTATTTGGTGCAGTTACGACAGCTAAACTTTACAGAAGACGGGTTCTCATCTTTCACAGCCTTCTTCTTCTGATTTACCTGTCTCACTCTTTCCTCCATTATAGCCTGTATCTGAAACTCTGTGATCTAATGGAAGGAGAAAAAAAAAAAAAGGTTAAAAGACTGTATTTAGGAGAAAATAGATGGCTAATAATACTTGTTTAACATACTTGTTTGTTGTAAACTGATTGATCTAATTTTTTAATTTTCTGAATGGCTTTGTTCATCATTTGCTCACGGTACTCGTTGACACACTCCTTTTCAGCCACCCCGGAGTTCTTTACGTCCACGACAGTGTATGTGCTGTCCTCAGCTCTTCCTCTGCCTTGAGACTGCAAAGGGCAACAGAACAAATGGTCAGCAATCACCTACTCATATTTAGTCAGCCCACATTTTTTTTATTTTTTATTTTCTGTTGCCAGTATTTACAGCTGGATGACTAACGGGACACTTGAAAATATTGAGCCATGAAAAAGTTTGTGGAAAACAGGAACAGGCTGAGATAAATTTAACATTTGATTTGAGCAGAATGGAAAAACTACAAACACAGGCACAGATGAAATCAGGAATCCCTGTTTTTCTTGAAGAAACATTTTGGCTGCAATGCCTGGGAATTTAAAATGTTAGTTATCAGGACTGTCCTGAAATGGCCCTTGAAATTTCTCTGCTATAAGCAGCAAGTATTTTTTTTTTTTCTTTTGAGCCACAACAAATAATTTTCATTGTAGTGGATTTTGGGGGAATCGGCGTGTTATTCTCTTTGTGACTTTTTGAAAGAACATAAAATGACTTTCAAGTCAGTCTGATTGTCAAAAATCAATAGAGATTTATTTTATCATATGTCCTTCAGATACCTTATTTATTTATGTGGTCAAAGTCACACCGTATAAAACCAAAAGACATACCAACACATTTTTAATCACGGATTACAGTCGTTCATTTTACTGACCTGAATCATAGCGATTTCATTGGTCACATGGCCATATCGAATAACAAAATTGCAGGCCGTTATGTCCAAACCTTCTTCTGCCACTGTGGTAGCAATAAGGAGGTTGAGTTCACCGCTTTTGAACCTCTTCAACACATCCTTCTGCTCTGCCTGAGGAATACAACTGCAGGTCACATACATGAAGAACTTGGGAAATGGCAGCCTAAGAGAGTTCAGTTTGTGAAGTATGCACTTACAGCTGTCATTGGTTTGGTATCGCTCTGGTCTCCTCCTCCAATGAAATAAGAAGGTTTTACTTCGATGTCAGCAAACTTGGGGTTTTCTTGAATCCACTGGCTAAGAGTCATAGCGCTGTGACGTGTTTTGGTGAAAATGATCCCTCTGGCTTCTTTTCGGCTGCTGAACTCTTGTAAAATTTTAGTTCTGAGTTTTGACAGGCTGTCGTTTTCGTATGTTGGATCCTTTGCCAGCTTCTCCAGCTCTTCCTTTTTGTCTGTAAGGAGTAGATATAAAAGGACTAAGGCAGAATATTTTCAGCAAAGTTAAACGAGACACTTTTACGACTGCAGTCTCTTGCAAAACTACTGACACCCCTTTAAGTCTGGTTGGAGTAAATTATTCTGAGGTTTTAGTCTAAAATAAAGCTTTAAATTGATTGGCCAGGCAATATTTTTTTTAAATATGGGAAAATGGCTCTTTGTTTACTATAAAAGCACAGCATAAAAGCAAAATGTGAAGATGTGGGTAAGCAACGGGTTTTGATTATATATTTAAAATTTATAGTGGAAATTAAGAATATCAACAAGAAAAAAAGAAAAAAAAAAGAAAGATCTTACCTTTAAACAAATTGAACAAAAATCTCTCCGTCTCTGTTATTTCCATGTTTTGTTCTTCATCTTGTGATGTTTTCTTCTTGATCTGCTCCTCGTGGAACTTGTTCAGGAGACTGAGAGCGTCACACATGCGTATGGTGTTGCTTAAAATCAGACCTTCATTATACCGTCGGAGGAACTCCGCGCAGACCCGAACTGTCTGGTCTCCGTCTTTGGCAGCTACAACACAATGAGGCAGTTTCATGATAGCTCTATGTGTGCAAAACCCAGACTGTCCAGTGTAATAAAGAGTTAGCGTTAAAGGGACATTACAGGCACACTGCAGGTAAAAGTGAAGAAGGATTTTATGGAGCTTAAATACTTTACTGAATCTTAAAAAAACAAACAAACTAAGATTAACATCACAGATATAAAGATTCAGGCTGCATAATGCTAATAAATATCATCGACTTAAGAGAAATTGTGTATTTTTCATACCAAATTTTAAAGGCCACCTCTATCGATTTGTATTAGGGATGCACGACATATCGGCACCAACATCAGTATCCACCGACATTAGTCAATTTTTAACATATCTATATAATATATATCTGTGTAACAATTCCACTCACCTTCTCGCTCTTTTTGAACAGCCCATTGTTCGTAATTCTGAGAGCCCAGGTCACATGTGGGGAAAAGCCGGGCATGCTCGTGAATGGCAGTCATGATTGTCTTCACCACACAACCAAAGGGATCCTGATGATGACGGTTAGGTAAAAATACTGTTAACTCCCCTCGACTAAAGAAGAACGTTGCCACATTTGTAGTTTAATGCACATATCTTGTTGAATTTAACGAGAAACAGCGTCTACCTCTTTTCTCGATTCAACAGGCAGGATGGATTTCCGTTGTTCCTTTTTCACAATGCTTCCTGTCATAATTTTGGAAGCATCCAAGTTTGCACAAATCTACAAAAGAGGGAAGGAAACCTGCATTAATATGTAATGCAAAATACAATATATATATAAAATGTATGTATGTTTTTTAGCTTTCCTTGAAGTAGGAAACTAAGGCTTGGAATTAGAAAGCAGAGATGAACGTGAAAGAAATTTAGATGAATAAAATAAGTTGCAAAAATGCATACGATATTACAGTTTCAGATACAATGTTAAACAGAGTATTTACTCGCAGAATGTGCTCTTCAGCTTTATTCAGGGTTTTGGCACCTCCGACCCCCGGTGAGGCCGTCAGGCCCAGGATCTGAGGAAGCGGTACGGGCTTCTTCTGCTCCTTCAGGAGCTTTTTGTTCTTGTGCTTTTGTTTCAGGTACCTCATCATGATGTGGTTGTAGACTTCTCCTTTCTGAGTGTGGTGACATTCATCTATTATGATCAGTGTCAGATCTGGAAAAGACGGTGACATAATGCCAGAGGTTCACTTGGAACTGTAAATTTTTAATGCCATGCAGAAATAAGAACAAAGAATTAACAGAAGGGAATTTTTTTGCAACTAATATATATTTCTCCCTAACTGAAAGTACACAAATCTTATATAAAGACAGTAATCTTCTTCAACCAAGCACTGTTAGTTGAAAGAGTCCCTGGAAAGGTTGAGGTAGTTCTTTAGAAAAACCAACTGTCCCACACAAATCAGAGCTTTCAGAGAAAATTTGAGACAGCAGTTTAAACCGCACAATAACATCTGTTACGAGAACTGCATGCTTCAAAAACAAAGCCAGACTTCAATGTGATCTAAATACGGTGCATTACAATGACTCGAGTCTAAACTGTTATTCGAATTTGTCCCAGAAGAGAAGGCAGAGTGGCAAGTTTGACGGGCTGTGATAGACGCTCTCTCGTGAATTCGATCCAGCCACACACCGATGGCTTGAACAGACATGTGGCCTGAGAGCCAGGAGGAAGTGGGGAGGGGAGGAGGTGAATAAATGCTTTCAAGTGTTTCGACAAACAGCATATGTTCCTCTGAGGTGGCTATTCCACCTTGGACTGATGACTGCCAGGAGCGAACACTAGAGTCGGAAGAATATGACAAGATCCTGTCGGGGGAAAATCCTGCTCCATGTTCCCTCGGTGGTTATCTATTCCAGAACATTTCAGTGTCAGTAAAATCCAGGGTAGATTTTGCATGAATTTAGAGATGTTGCAACCATATTAAGTTTAATGGTGTGTTTTGATTTCTAGTAAGACAAAAAAAGTAGAATTTTTTTTTTACAAGAAATGACCATTTACTGTTCAGTCTGTACATCAGAGTAAACGAAAAAATACAGCCAAACCATCTGCGGTGTGGGTGCTGGTTGCAAAATGTTATAGCCCTTCAACATTGAATGAGCAGCAGAAAAGCATACATTTTTGAAATGAAATAAGATAAAATGATTTTTCCTGCAGCTCTGTTATTGCAGCAGATCACTATAAATATAGCAAACAAAATCTGCTGTTTTACTTTCAAGCTGGCTTTTGTCACTGCAGGACAAATGTCTGCTATGGAAAATTAGAAGGCAACAGTTCAAAACTCCCATTCCTTCAAAGGTTGCTGGATTTTTCTTTAATAACTGAGTGTACAGAGCAGTTTTCTATTTTGTTACTGCAAAGGATTCTCCCCTTTTTTTTTTTTTTTTTAAATAGAGACCATGATAAAAGTTTGACAGTAGTTAAAGCGCATCATTTGTGCAGGATTTGTAGGAGGAGAAGTTTCTAGAATTCTAGTTTTCTTTTTAAGTTCAAAACATTTTGGTGTGTGCCTGTACAGACTTGCAGTTTAAATTTTAAATGCATGTTTTGAATTGTGCAACATGTGAAGTTTCCCTTTCATTCTGTCAGTCTGGTTTTTCCACCTTCCTGCCCAAAAGGGGCTACATATCAATTTCTCCACCCACATCTTTAACCCTCAGTTCTTCATCTGGACTTCATTAAGTCTTGTGTGACACCTTGTGGGATAGTTCTATTAACAATTTTGCCAGACATGTCCAATTCTTCCTGTCTGCCTAACAATTCCGGCAGGTGACACTGCATCCGGCTCGGCTCCGCTCCGCACTTTGCAGGCGGGCTGCCGCCATTCTGGAGCACCCCAAATTCCACTGCTTCTCAGTGTCTTCTCAGCTCCGCTCCACTACAAACCACAGAGAGGTTTTACAAGACGCATGCGTGGGAAAACGAGAGAGAGCACGTGACAAAGCCAGTGATAAAAAGGATGAACGGTGTCACGTAAAATGCGGCAGTTCTCAACTTCAAAAAATTACATTTTTCCTACATTGCTCTCCCTGCTGTGACTTGAGCAAGAAACTTTTCAGAATTAAATCCACATTTTTAATTATGCTGACTAATACGTGATGACATGTATCAGTTATGGCTATTTTTATTAATAGAGCAAATATTTCAAGAAAATATAGTCTGTCTTGATGAACTATTTTGAAAATACGGATGTTGCGCTCGTTGCAGCTTCCTGTTGGAAAGGTGTGGGCTTTGAAGGTTAACTACACACTTGCTCCATTGTCTGGCAAAAACAGAATCAGTTCAAATTTTGGGGTAATGGCTTTGCGGAAGCATGAACTGTTGTGCGGATGCAGTGCAAATGCTATTATTGGCGTGAATGGGTGCATTTTTACTGCGGAGGCCGCAGTGTGGCAGAGCAAGGTGGAGCCGGATGGAGTGTATTTTAGGATTTTAGGGGTAACAGCAAAAATAATCATCAGTTCTTTGAAAATGCTATGATAGCATGAATACTACGGTAGCTTAGTATTCTATTATCAGATAATATGACTTTGAAGGTAAGATATAAACAGTTAATAGTTAATGTTAACTGTTTTCTACCCAGGGCTCCATGGAAGTGCATTTGGCGGGATGGTTGCTCTGCACAATGAAGGTCCCAGGTTCGAATCCCGGTCTGAGGGCGAACCGTGCTGCTTACTTAATGACCGGTGGGGATCCAACCACTCCAGCTCTCAACCAGTCTTTGGTAACATTCATGTGGAATATTTTCTAATTTAACCTATTTTCAGGGCTAGGAAAACCCTACTTATCTCAATAAAACCCATAACCCCACATCATTCTGTTAAGCCCACCCAGGAATGTATTCGTGTGTATTTGACCCTGGATTGGGCTAGTAAATTAACACAAACTGAGTTCTTTGTGAGTGATTATCTTATAGTAGTTTGTCCCACCAAACTTATTTAGAAATTAAGTGCTGCAAAGACCTACCGCTTAGCTTCACCCCTTCATCCTCTCCGCTGGAAGCCCTCTCCAAGTAATTTTCGAGAATCTGGGCTGTGCAGATGATGATGTCGTTTCTTTCTACAATGTTAGCGAAGGAGATTTTGAGCTGAGAGTCTCCACTGACCCTCTCCACTTTGTAATTGAGCTTCAGGATACGGAACTCTGTGGAGAAATGCTGCTCCACAAGAGGAATCTACAAGCCAAAAAAGAAAATTTTATGAACACAATTTTTCTTTTTTTTTTAAAGGAAGAAATGACTTTCTGCCACTACAGCAGCTAAAGGGCACATTGCTAACACCCGCCACAGCTAAACTACTCGGAGCTTTATTCCTTTTGTTTAAGGCAGGGCTTCTAATTAGTGGAAGAAGGGGATTTTGTTGCACACTCTTTGCAAAAAGAGTACACAGACTTTTCTGTGTGGGCACAACTAACCTACTTATTGCTCAGGGTTGAAGATTAAAAACGTAAATGCTTTCAGTCACATAGGATTACTTTGTCTGCTACTAGATAGTTTTATGGGAGGGAAATATTTTTTGCCACATGGTATTTATTTTCCTTGTTCAGGCTACATCTTGTATGGGCCAAATAGTAACAAAGTGCACTGGGATACATAAAACTTATGGCATGGAATGTGTGGTGTGTAAACTTCCGTGTTTTCTTTGGATCTGAATGAAGCACTGCAGCCAAAAAGCCCATAAGTCAGACAAACCAAAGTCAGATCCTAGTACCTTGTTCACCAGGACAACCACCTTCCCTGTTTTCCCCTCAGCTCTCCTGCTGTCCAGATGTTTTTGGGTTATGTACACTGCAACTCTGGTTTTACCGCTTCCTGTCGGGAGGCAAATAATAACGTTTTCCCCCTCCAGGGCAGGCCTGGCAACTTCCATCTGATAATCACGAAGAGAAATTTCTTCTGGGCCTCCTCCGGTGGCCCCTGCTGCTTCTGCTGCTGGACAGCCGCTTACATCTGCAATGCAGACCAAAGCCTCAGTCTGAAAAGGGCTTCTGTCTATGTCAGCAAGCCACAATTACACATTGTTATGGAATGTCCTCTTTAAACTGTTTTTATACATGGAGCAATTTTTTTCATGTGCATTCAGAACACAAACCTAGTTTTAAAACCTCAAATTTGCCAAATTAAGAGAATGAGGAAATGCATATTAATTCATATCCTTTCATACAAGCTACAACAGAAATACCCATTTGCTGTAAACATAGGTATACAAACCAACAGCAAGCACAGGAAACCTAATGCTTGTTTGAAATTATTCAGACAAACTCCATCATGTCATGACATGTAACTTGAGTATCGTTTTCACGATTGGTTTTATGTAGCACAATTCGGTCTTAGCTGTGGGTAAACACCAGACCTATGATCCGCCTTAGCTGGATTTAAAGTTGCTGGAAGGGAGTGAGTCATTTGTTCTGTCTCAGATTTGGCACAATTTTCATGAACGAGATCCCCTTATGTTATGAGTTCCACATTTGCCACAGCTGTGACTACAAAACCTCCGTGGGTTGCAAAAGTATTCACTGTTTTATGTTTTAATACACTACAACAACAACAAAAAATCTTATTGTTTTTTTTTTTTTAATCAAGATTTTGCGTGACAGTCTAACACAAAGTAATGAACAATTACTGAGTGGGAGGAAGATGATATGGGTTTCAAATTTGCTTATTAAAAAATATATAAATAAATAAATGAAAGTGTGGCAAGGCGGGCAATCCCAGCTAGTTTACTTTGATACCCCTAAATAAATTCCAGTTAAATTACCTTCAGAAGTCACCTACTAAACAAGGGAGGCTCTTTTAGCGACCTTTAAGTTCCTCCATAATATAACACCTTTCAACCAAAATAGAGCTTTCTGACCAACATGCAAATGTTGCATCTTGTGAAAAGCTAAAACTGCACATCACCTTCATTCCATTATCCACACCTTGAAACAAAGTGAGGGTAACATCAAGCTGTGTGGAAACTGGTCAGAGTTATTAGGTGGCAACAAGGCGACCCAGGAAGACTCCAAAAGAACAGGTCTGCAATTAAATGTTTTGACGAAAGCACATTAAGGTCTTAGAATGGTCCATTCAAAGTCTGCAGCTCAATCTAACTGAATCTGTGGCAAGAAAATTGTGAAATCTGTGGTGAAAATTGATCCTCAGCCACTCTCCATTCAGCCTGACTTAGCATGAGCTGTTTTGCAGCTGTGATTAGAGTGGGAGGCGGTTGTTCAAAAAAAAAAAAAACAAATTCAGCGGGACTGGACAGATATGCACACTTTCCAGATGTTTAGTTCTACAAAAAAAGAGGAAGAAAAAAATATGCATACTTTTTATTTTACTTCACAATTACATGCTGCTTTATATTGGTCTATGCACATTAAAATAAACTGATGTTTGAGGTTGCAGCCTGATAAAATGTGAAGACATTTAAGAACCATGAATACTTTTCCAAGGCATAGAATAATTGTTTTTTTATTGTCGGTACAGGCGGTTTTTAATTAGCCTCCTACGGATCAACGCAAGTCTGTCCTGATGAAGAGATAGAGCCTGAACAACAACAACAATAGGAAATGTGTTCCAGATGCTGTGATTATTTGGGATATATTCAGTCAGCTCTTCTTAATTTTACCCCAAAAGGGAGGTGAAGTCAAATTATTTCACAGGACAGAAAATCTCTGAAAACTAACAGGATTAGAGTTTAATTTCTGGGAAGATTAGGTGTAAATTTTATCAACCAATAAAAATGTATATTTTTCCTGTTCGCTGATTGTTTTAAAATGTCATTTAGAGTTGATATAAAGCTATGGTAATTTCAGGAATAGACTCAAATTGTGGCGGCAGAGTACTTCCCCCATCCTCGATTTAAGCCTGGGATGAGGGCAACATGTCCGTAACTTACTACACCCCAGAGACAGGCATTTCAGAATGTAAATAGATCGTCAGAGTGATGTTTTTGTACAGAGTATGCGCCGCCTCTTGGCTGATGACAGATGCAAGACACTGCAGCCTAACTTAACTCCACCCTCCTGTAAAACCGAAGAAGACAAAGCATGCATAGAAAGTTAACTAAAGGCTACAGTTCACAGATTCCTTTTCGATCTGCTAATACTGAGTCAGCATGTGGTTTTCATTTAAAAGCACCACTGCGCTCCGTCCTCTGCAGCCTCTCTGTGGTTCTTCAGAGTTCACACATGGAACTTATTCATGTCACGCCAAAAGGCATCGAAATATTCCACAACAACTCTCCCAGCTAATCTCATTATGCCTGGTGAATGCGAAATAGAGATCACACACACATTTTTCTGACAAATACCTGAGCTAATTTACAACTTGGTGGTCTAGGTTTCACTGAACACATTCTGAGATTGACAAGAGTTTAAGGAATTATAACAATGTTAAGAATGCGGGTGAGGGTAAATGAGTCTCACCTGGAGGTAAATTATCCATGGATTTGGACAGGTCACCGTCTAAATACAGATCTGTAAGAAAAATTATAATTAAAAAAAACAGCATTTACTCAAAATATGCTTATAAAAAGCAGCAGACTTTCACTAATTTCTGCACAGAATCAAATATAAAATAACTTGCACAACATCCAATGAAGAATTAGTTAGTACAGCATAACTAACAAAAATGTTTTGATTCTAATTTCCTGAAGAAATGAAAATGAGCCATGAGACAGTTTTAGGGGGGGGGGATGTGTTCTTTCAGGCTGTTTGCTGCCATGAAAGCAAACAGCAAACATTACCTTCTTTCCTAAAAGGTAATGGAAAAACTAATGACTCAAAGAACATGCTGTATTCTTGAAAAGTTTACGTGCATTTTTAAATTGGGAAAACCAAGGCCAAGACATCGTGGCTTTCTATGCTTACGACTGCTGAATTACAGGAGGAACACATGTGGATGTATTTTAGAGCAACATCTAAGACATGTTGCTTCCTTTCATGACATCAAAAAAAAATCAACCAGAGTAGCAAGAAGCATAAAGAATGTGCAAAATCTGTGAAACGAGCTTAAAGAAAGAGCAAAAAAAACGTTGTGAAGATAACACGCAAAATCTGGTAAGAGAGTTCGAAACAAGTCCTTTACTGATATGGAGTAAAAAGACAGAAACGGACCATTATTCCAGAAGGAAAAGAAAAGAAAATCTAGTTTAAAAGTCCATTCTATCAATTACTGAGAACATGTATGTAAACTGTCTAAAGAAATAGCTTTGGTAATCCTGCTGAATTAAACCAGAAAGAGTTTAGTCTTAAAGGGACAGAGGAAAACTTCTTATGTCTCTTTATACACTGTACATAAAAGTCTGGGTTTAACTGTAATCGTGATGCAAGACGAGGATGGAGAATCTTTTAGGCTTAACGTTAAGTTGATTAATTTGGTGACTTTTACAGCTCCTGCAAAAACCTATAATATATGTATATTGATGTATATAAAATAGAAATTAACTGCTCTATACATTGAGGAGACATATTCTGTGAGACCTGGGGCATCATCCTGAGGTCCCTCGGTGCCACTGATTTCCATGGGCTCCTCACTCTGACAGCTTTCGGCCGGTTTCTCCTCTGCTGCTTCTGCTTCATTTTCTGAGAATCCAAAAAAATAATTAAAGTTGTTTCCATCTTTACAAGGATATCAAAATGAAGCTGCGAAACAGAAACTCTGTATAGATGAAAACTGAATTACAGTTTTAGTAAAATTACTCAGTAGAATAAACAATTGGTAATAGGAAATTATTCAAGAAACTGAATTAGGGATATTGCAATCTATGTAATTACTGAGATGCAATAACACTCCCAAATCTCCCTAAATCCCACAGAAATATCAGTGCCTAGACTTTGCCTCATCGCCTTTTCTTCAACAACTGTGCTCTCCAGGAGACAGGTTAGACACTTACTCAGTTTCTTACACTCAGGTGATCCTCCTATGAGCTCATAAAGGTGTGTGTGTTCAGTGGCACGCAGAATTTCCCGAAATTCAGAGAACCAGCCAGGTCGGCATCTCACGATCCTGCTCAGAAGTTCATGGGCTCCACGTCTGTTTCCGTGGTTTGTTTTTTCAGCCTCAATCTAGAGTTTGAACAAAATAAAGTGGGTTTATGTGACTTTTCTGCAACCTGAGGGAAGGAGGAGAAATCGCATCAGCCAGAGGTGGGGGACTTCAACTTGCATTCAATACTGCCATCTTGTGGTGACATACAAAACTCAATTTGAAACGTTCGATGAAAACATAATTTCATTTGTAGATTGCTTTGAATTCTAGCACATAAGACAAAACATTACGAAACAAAAGACTGATAACATTAATTTTATTCTTTCTAACTTCAAACTAACAGCGATTCCCCTTTCTATTTTGTTTTTGTGCACTTACCCTCTCTTGGTCCGGAGCAGTTAGGAGAAATCGAGCTAAGCACTGAGTCAACACTTCTTCTGTTTTCATGTCCTCCAGACTGGGAGTAAATAACTGAATTAGCTGGACATAGTAATCATTTTCCGCCTCCACTTCGGGGTCTGGGAGGTTTAACTCCAAATAGTCACCAGCGTGAGCGCTGCCTCCATGATTCAACGCATCAACGAAGGCCCTGAACCAGCCGACTGGATGTGGCCTCTCAACAACCGCACCAATAAGCAAATCCGCAGCCGATTCATTACCCTCCGTGTTCAGTTTCTGTCTGATCGCCTCCTTTCGTCCAGATTCTAAATGTAAATATTGCAGTACCTGGTCTACCTTTATAATCTGCCGCAGTCTCGGTTTTAAACATTCAATGCGACGTTCAAGCATCTCATCATTATCAGAAGTCATCGTGACTAGAGTGTCCGATAATCCAAGAGACAACAGGCTCCGACTCAGCCTTTCCAGTATGACGATTCACTTCTTCACGTAATAGCTTAGCCTGGAAAACAAAACTTAGTTTACTTTCGTTTTCCCCAAAAACAAATTAATATTGAAAGTGACCACTAGATGTCACTGTTTGATAACTGATATAAACCACATTTCTGAACCACTTCTTCAACATTACACATACAGGTGCGTCTAAATTAATAGGAAGGAGTATAAATGGTTTGGTTTAGAAATGGCTTTACGGAAGGATTGTAGCAGATATATTCCATGTCTTGGATGCGTCTCGTTGTAGCTGCATTTCAAGTCTTATGAATCTCTTTCCAATCCCTTGAATGGGTTTTGCTTCTAAATCTTCCCAAGACTTTGGTTATCCCTGTTACTTTTAGCAGCCTTTTCTACTCCACATTTTTCCTTCCACCCAACTTCCCATTGATGGGCAGCTAGTTTTAGAAATTACTACTTGTGGATTACCTGTCCTGTGGAGGCTGTTTGTGACTCTCTGCTGGACAATTGTAAAATCAGCTGTCTTGCTTATCGTTGTGTAGACAGTTGCATGACATTCCTGCACAAAAAACTGTTTTAAAGAAACAGTATGTGTGAAATTTAGCAAGATGCACCTGCATGCCCTAATACATAAAACCTTTTGAATAAAAAAAAGAATTCTGTATTCTTTCCTTGACTGTATATTGTGGTTTGAAAAATCCATCTAGACTCCAGATATTTACTTTGGAATTAATATATATATATATATATATATATATATTTATATATATATATATATATATATATATATATATATATATTTACTTACACATATGTTTTATTTATGCACTTAAGATCAAAAGTAGGCTGACTTATTAATCCATACCAAAGCAAAAAAAAAAAAAAAAACTTAAATACTAATCATTTAGGCATCAAATTTCATCTGAAACAACACAATGATAACGTTGTTCTTAAAATAGAATAAATCAACATGTTGCGGAACACAGAGAAATGGAGAAAAATAATTATTTAAAATAAAAAGTGAAAGACACAACTTCAACACTTTTTCATTTATTGCTTCGATAGTTTCAAAACAAGCATATTCTATTGTTTTACAGAATTTCATAAATAAATGATGGAGTAAAAAATACTATTTACATCATACAATAATATATTATTTATTTTACAGTTGTTGAATAATATTTAGTAAGGTGGGCATTATCCAAAATAACACGGGCATACAATGGGATTCATGAATGCGATTTTGTTAGTTATAAAGATGGCTGACTTATCATTTGGACTGGTTGTATAGGCACAAGTCCCTGTTTGGAGCCTTCTTTAGAACAGATCCTACTGTACGATTAAGTGAAATCCCATCTTTAATTTTGCCTTTTTCTGCCACATCATATCTTAACATATATATTTATATATATAAAAAAAAAAAAACAAAAAAAAAAAACACATGAATGCTGACATCATTTACGTTGTGCTACTTTGGGCTTGAAATCAGTGCAAAACAGTATATAAATAGAATTTACAACACATGCACTGCATCGTACTTGCGTGTCCGAGGCAGGGATAACAGCAGATAATCCTCAAATCTGCATGTTATGATATTTGCTCAAACAAGCATGCACGGTGCATTCTGCTTAATATAGTACAGTAGGTGCACATCAGTGATTGCAATAACAATAATAATAATAATGCACATCATTTAAATATATAGTGTACTGTGATGTATGTTGCAGTGCAATTATCCATAGCCCCTGAGTCACACTGCAAAGAATATAGGCATACAGCTAAGGATGAGAAAACTGTTCACACACCTCAGTAGTAATGCTGAATCGCTCTAAAAGTTCTAGGAAATAGTTTGTGTAACCCACACAGGATTCAGACTATAGATGGGGTATAATGATCAGGTTCAGCAGTGACTGTTAAGGGTATCCATGTAGTCAGTATCGTGCGATATCCCCTGTCCCATGAGAGGAAATTTGCAGAATGCGTTTTTTTTTTTTTTTTTTTCCCCGCTGGCTTGTCAGACCCTTAGTGTCAGGTACTATGCAAAGATTTCAGAAAATGGAAAAAGAACCGCTGCATCATCATTTTTCCTGCTGCAACAAAAGTCACCTCCTCACACTTCAGGTTCTAATGAGGACACAAAGCAGCGCCAGGCCTTGCGTTGGCTCACACCCTCGGTTTCAAAGTCTCAGGCTGCACAGGGTCAACAGTTTGAACAAACATCTGTGCTCACCAGCCGCCTGCCAGACTTGAAAAGATTGACGGCCTGTCAACAACCAGCATTACCAATCTTGACCAAAAGCGTCATTTATTTTTGTTCTTGCGTTTTGCTTGAATACGTCAACAATGATTGGGAGTTTGTGTGACTCCCTGTCCCCGTCACTGCCCCCATCTGCCAGATCAGAAAAAAAAAAAAATAAAATTAAAAAAAAAAAAAAAAAAAAATAAATAATTTAAATATAAATATTTATAAATATATTATTATTTT